TGCGAACGCAGGAAAACTTATAATCGACAGCAAACCACTGTCCAACTCCTTGGAATTTGACTCTCTGGGCAGCATGGATTGCAGCACCGCTTGACACTTCTGTGCCTCGTCGGCCAAAACATGAATAACTGACGTAGGTCCACCTCTCGCACCAAACAAATCCAATTCGTTCATCGCCTCCATCGCGGCTTTGGCCATTCCGATACTGCTTGCATTTAATTCCGGCAAACCGTGATTCGTTTTATCCCCTCTTTCCCATATTCCGTAGTCTGGAGTGCAATAGGCAGATTCGATATAAAATACCAAGTTCTGAATAAAAGCCACCTAAAATTAACCATCAAATGTACAATTCGGCTTCCTAAATCAGTAAATCTGACGTACACGTACAATCACACGCGAATGCATTTATACTTGTATTAATTACTGAAAAATATCGCATTTGTTCAAGTTTACAGTATACGAGAGTCACAGATATCAATACCTCGTCCAGGTTGAAAATAATTTGTAAGCCAGAAGCTATCATTTGGGCCAGAATTAAAAGATACAGAGAAATCGCGTCGATTTGAAGATGTCCCCATTCGGTGTCTCCAACCACACTTTGACCATTGATAGAGCTGTACTTCGCATGCAAGGCGTCGTGTGGATTTTGAGTGGACTTGAACTTTTCCACCTTCTCCTTCTGCTGCATCATTGCCATCAAAAGGCCCCTCATCAACTTCACACAGCTCTGCTCCAGTTCGTAAGTCTTCGCCCTATCTTCGTCGGCATCTGCTATTTTTTTATAGGCCATCGACAGACCCCATACAGCGAGTATGCAATAAACATTATCCCGTATCCAGGCGTGATCGTTGTCGGTACTTGCGGGAAAGAGCCCAGTAACGGGATTCTGATGGTTCATGATTATCTTGTAGACGATCCGTTGGTAATAGTCCAAACGGACGCCGGAGTTGCTTCTACTACGCATTTTGTGCTTTCACTGTAAAAATAAAAAAAGGAGAGATTACGACTCTGTACATTTTATGTTTAGACAGGTTTCTAGTCAAATTATAAATATACAGACTTGCACACACCACACATGAAGTATCAAATCTATTGTACTTTGTTAAGTCTATCTAGCTAATTTAATTACTTTTCTGTGTTGTTTTTATATATCGTATATACTTCTAAGTTAATCACAAGCTAGTTGAAATCAACTGACTTTACGAGCGAAATACAATCGTGCAACTGAATACAGAATAATCTTAACAGAATAATTTCTCATGTAGATCTGTTGTTGTGAGTCACGAGGCGAAGAGTCAACTTGTAAATTAGTTACGATTATCGCACTTCCGGAGCGTTTAAACCATCAAGAGCAGGAGTAGGCACGCAATTTCGAAAATTAGGGTTAACATTATCGTGATTGATTAAGCTGCATGTGTACCTCGGTGGCGATTGTTGATCTTTGATTCCTGAACCGATCGACACACTGAGCGCTGAACCGACGACGATGTCATGTGAAAAAACGGGAGAACTGCATTTTCTCGCGAGTCAATGAAGTGGCTATGACGGTGAGCTTTGAGACGCAATGTGAAACGAATGTCAAGTTAGCTCGATGCGTACGTATATCTATAGCGCTCCCAGAGATCATGCGAGGAGGATCCACGCATACGCAGACGTGAGAGATCCAGTCACGTGGGTCGTGGGTCACATACATATATTTCGTCATGATAAGTGGTACAGCCAGGCCCGAGGAAAGAAAAGATAACCCAGCCAGAAATGATTAGTTAAATCGATGTGAATTAATTCGACGTCGATGCGTCGATGAACAGTCAACGTCGAATACTTTGTCATTTTTGAGCTCATAATTGTTTTTATGTTAATTGAGTAACTATAATTATGGAATACTTCTGTAAGATTTCTATGTTTTTTGGCCAATATTCCATATCGAATGTATAATATAATATCTGTTCCTAAGGGCCGATATCATGCACAGTCTCCGATTAACGTAATCCTCCAACTCTTTCTAACTGTCCCTCTAGAAAGAGACGACGAGTGAGTTTAATCGGAGGATCACGTTAATCGGAGACTGTGATATCGGCCCTAAGACTTAGAGGTAAAGGATCGTATTCCCATTATTAATTCAGAGAAAAATAGAGAAATGATAGATCTTTTTTTAAGAGAGAAAATAAAAATAGCAACCTGAGAGATTTATTAAGTTTTTAATCGAGTAATTTAACTGACACGTTTAATAGTACAACTGCCAATAACGGATTGTATCTGGTTTAAAAATTGGACACTAGAAACATTTTCAATACAACTCTTTCCAATCATTGTATTTTGGGAATTAGTGATAATAGACATAAGACGCTTATCATTATACAATTTAAGCTTCTATTAAGTTGAAAAATATATTAATTCCATTTTGACAAAAACTGAAGATACGATGCTTTACCTCTAAAGTAAATATACACTGTTGAATTCTTAATTTCAAATTATACTCAATTTAAGTCATTCTTAATCATCTTTTTATAGGTCGCTACTGCTCCTCCTAAATCAATGAAGTTAAAATAATACTGTTTCGCGTTGAAATAATATATAAATTTCGACTCACACGGTAGTTAAAAGTAACAAAATGTTATTTAACTCAATTAAGGTGTTGATTTAAATTTCATGCCTTAATATTTAACAGTATAATTACGAAAGCACAATATATATGCATATTGTGCTTTTCGACTTTGCATTGATTCGATGTACCTATATAGAGTTAGCCGAAAGACAATAGAAATTTTACAGAAATATTCACAACTGTTCAATTAACATTATATACATATATATTACGTAATAACAATTATAATGAGATAGAAAATAAGAGACAAAGATATTTTCAACCAGTATTCGATATCGACGATTCATCGATGACACCGACGTCGATTCGACTGATCATTTCTGGCTGGGAATGTGCATGAAAGAAAACAAGAAGGCACACACAATCGAGCACACAATATAAGAGAAGGAGTCCCCGTTGTCTACATAACGTGGCGTTTCTCGTGCATGGTTTTAACAAGTCTTAATTATTAATGCTTTATTGTCTGCCCGCGTCGCCTCGTGTGTCGGGATAATGCGCGCGATAATACACGCATTGACGTCAACAGCATATAATGTGTATACTTATACGTGTTTCCCACTTACGTTTATTGCCCACATCCTTCGCGATTTATATAGCCGTAATTCCAGTTGTCGTTTCTTACATTTTGTGCCTCGCGCCCGCTTCGATCATCTTATTTATAATAAGGTCGCGCGTTACGAATGCGAAAATCTTTGCGGCCCGTCGAATTTTAGGATCGCTTTTTTATTGTTAGATTTCGAGAGCGTTTCGAATCTTCTTAAATTCTCGCACGACTTAGCGCTATGTATTGCATACGAATGTGAAATTCGAGACATTATTCGGGGATCGAGATTGTGAGAGTCCAATTTCACGAATATAAGTCCTCGTGATTTTCCTTCGATTCGCGTATCCGGCGTAGGTATCTCTATCGCGAATCGCCGGTATTGCGTTAAATTCTGCGCATTTCGGCACGCGACTTTGTTGTATTTCGTATTTGGTAAAAATAGAGACGAACACGTGATACGAGATCGCGTATAGACGGCCGAGGCTGTCGAGAACAGATTCTGCTAAAAATTTTGTCGATAGAAAGCTTACGAATTTGATACGACGTATACACAATGCTGCCGGCATTGTTGTTGGCAGAATGCTGGTTGCAAAGTTTGTCAACAAAATATAATGACAGAAAGACTTTGACATATTTTGTCTATTTAACTATATATACGTGCAGTTGGATGCAAATTGGCGGCGAAAATAGAGTAGAATCTGCTTTCGATAGCCAATCTACTGTTAGCAGGCTCTGTCGACGAAACGCGAGCTTTAATGCAGACACGATTGATGCCAATTTGCTAATTTCTGGCCGAATTGGCTACCCAAGGTAGCAAAGTGACGTTACTCGTCATTTTGAGTACGCTGCGTACACACACAATGACGGTTTTAACTTTTTTAACATTAAAATGACGACAAATAAACGCCACTCCTCGCTACCTGGGAATTTGCTGACAAATCGGAGTTTGTTTACTGAGAATTGTACAAATCAGCGGTAACTTCTTTTAAATAACAATTCAGACCTGAAAGACCTTTTCATTTTGTTTTATATATAATTATTATAAAAAAATTTTTTTTCCCGGAATGTCATTTATCTTAATATAATTGCATTTCGTAAAAACACACTCTGGCAATTAACAGCGAATCAATATGTTCACGTTTATTGCAAAAGTATTGCGAAGTTTTCGCAAGTCGCCATGGAAGTTTTCTCTCATTTCTAAACAATTGCACAATGTTTATGTAGGCATATATATATGTAGGTCTGCCTTTGTAGTTGAACTACTTCCTGCACTTAAAATAAAATGGACAAGAGATGAAGAGATGAGTATACAGTTAGACGTTGGAGAGAAAAAAAGGATAAACGAACGAATAAGGCTATACCGCTAACGAAAGTCGAAATCTTCGATTTGTCTCCTTTATCTTTCCCCAAAGTAAAAAAAAAAAAAAAAAAATCGGTACATTTTATGAGACCATTGCGCGCTCGTTTCTCGCTGATCCGGGACACCCTGTACATGCTACATGCTCGAACCTCGAACTCGAAAGAGCGAGAGAAACGAAGGGAGGGAGAGAAAGACGGAGAGAGAGAGAGGAGGGAAGCAGCGAAAGTGCAGCCGAAACGAAGAGAGGCTCGTTGTTGCCGCCTTCCCGCACGCGCGACAGTTCGCGGCGGCCATCAGCGGTTATGGACTGACCATCGGTCGCTCTCGCGGTGTTGCGGGCGTCGCTCCGTTCCTTTTCTTTTTCCTTTCCCCTCCTTATTTTGAGTTTCGTCTCGCGGGAGTGTCTCGCGTCTCGCGCGTGTCCCGCCGGGTTCCACGGACGGAGTTCTCGTGCACGGCTGATCCGGTCGGGATACCGCGCACGCGATATGATGGCCGTGTTCGATCCTCCACGCTCGTCGCTGCCGTTGCTGCTGGTACTGATGATGGTCACGCTGCTCGCGGCCCTAACCTCCTCGCCCGTCAACGCGGCGGCAGCTGGCGCGTCCTCGGCGCCGTCGGTGCCTGCTGCCCCTGCTGGTCGCGATACTCGCGAGCCTCCTCCGCCGACGGTCGAGCCCCCCGATGCAACGGGTGACAAGAAAGCATTGGTAGGTTCGCCGTAGCCAGGTGCGCATTGCGCGAACGCGCATTTCTCCGTTTGCACGTGTGACAATTGCGCCGAATTTGTTTCTTTAGATGTACTCTTGTGCTTCTCGTTTTTTCTTCTCCTTTTTCCTTCTGCGACGACTCACAATTGCGTGTGCTCATTTTGAGTGTGGAAGGTATAACGGTGCAGCTACAAAAAAGAAAACAGAACTTTTACTTTTATTTTATTATTTCGTGTTTTTTATTTGCATTCTTTTCTTTTCGCTTTGCGGTTCATGGTTTTCTTTATTCTTCTACGTTTTATGACTGTCTGCATATTTTTACCTGTAAGATCCTTCCTTTTCTCTTATTTCCTTTCGTTTTGTATTCTTTTGCTTTATTTTGTTTCAGTTCTTTCCTTTCCTTCCGATTCTACGGGTGGTCTTCTTTTTTTTTTATTTTGAACATTTTTTGCCTTGCTCTCTTCTATATATTTTATTTTTATTTTATTTGAAATTTATTTAATTGCACTGCATATATTAAATATCTCTTTTTTTATCTATTGAATTATCAGATCATGTCCTATCTTTCTGTGCTATCTGCGTTTATCTTGTGTTCATGTACTAGTATACTAACAATAAGTATATATAAATTCAGTATTGCTTTTTATCATTCTAGATATCTAGATCTTTATGACAGGGTGTGGATTTTTGCAATCTAAGAATGTATATTTTCTTACTCGACATAAGATAATTAGTCTTTGAAGGAAATTAAATGGTTCTTTTTGTAAAGTAATGAAATATTTTTCAAGCGGTATTCGAGCGTGGCGGAAGGAGGACCTATATTAATGTCCACTTCATCTCAACGTGGAAGCGTTGAAGTTACAACCGAATCGCTTGGCGAAGTCAGGACGAGGGAGAGACCCTATGCCGGTCGCACGGGTTCTGTGGTCGCGAGGAAGGGAGTTGAAGAGAAAATAAAACCGAGAAAGGGAGTGCCAGATGATACACCATCGACGAAGAGCATAGATCAGAATGTGGAAAACGTATCACTTAATCAGACCACATTCGAAAGTATGAAACCCATAATGGAAAGTAGTCCTGCGATAGAAACAGCTCATATCAAATCTGATACTTCCAACGTTAGTAACCCAAAATTAAATACCACTGATCCACGCCCCGATAGCTTAAATCACGGTATAAGCTCCAATGCAAGTTTGGTACCAGCAAATAAAACCACATCTCAGCCAGAGATTAGTACGACTAGTACGACAGCGCCGAAGGTATCCTCGCACATTGAGAAGCATGTACCGAAGCCTAAGCCAACGGTGACGACTGTTGACGGGCCAGAAATCAATGAATCCATACCGCTCTCACGAACGAAGAATCCTCCACTAGGCATGCCAAGGAAAATCGACTACATTGTGCCGGTTATTATAACGATCTTCGCTTTACCGATATTGGGCGCTGTGATTTTCGTATTGTACAGGCGCGGTCGAGATTGTTGGGATAAGAGGCACTATCGAAGGATGGATTTTCTTATCGACGGAATGTACAATGACTGAGAGCCATATAAGAAAAAAGTCTGTTCCACGAGATTAAATAGACGTTATGCAAGAGGCAATCAATCATCAATTCTCGCGTTCTTCTATTATCTTCCATTTTTGTAAACGCATAAACAGATTTGTGCATTTTCTCTTGAAATAGTTAAGTAACGATATACTCTACATTGATTCCTTCTTACATAACGATATAAATGTCCCAACGATACCTATCATTAGAATATATCAAGAAAGATATCAAAGATCTTGACACTTTATGCCCTTTTATAAACATATTGAATGATATATCGTGCTAATTATAATATTGTAATAATGTCTAAGCTCACTGCATTGGTATTTAAATTTGCTATACAATTTTTTTATCATACTTGCCTTAATAATGTAGTGACAATTATAATAATTGTGGCGTGATAAGATTTACAATTGTATTGAAGGAGAAGTATTGTCGACGGCATTTTAAGAACGGTTTTGTAAATAGTTCACTGCAGCTTCTAAATCTAACATAAGTTTCTAAAATATTTTTTAGTACATGTTTATACATATATATGAATTTATATGTATATTGAAAATTTCTCTCAAAATTTGTTTCTTGTTAACGTGAACAAATTTTAATATATATATATGTTATATCTTTTCGAGGTGACTTTTCGAATCTTTTGTATGTAAATGTATGTACGTGTTGCATTTGACGCCATCTCTCGCATTAGAGAATGTAAGAGAAATCTACCGAGGGTCCAATTGCCTAATCTGACAATAATAATTGAATTTCTGCAGAGCCAGGATTGCGTCTTCGATTCAACAGAATCATATTGTGCTTTGAAAGTGCTCCCTCAGCAAATAGTATTGTGCGCGATTTTTTCCGCATGCAAAAACCGTAGTGTATAAGAACAGTTTAATGTATGAAATGCGATAGTGTACACAAACTTTACCAAAGAGCTACTCGATTTGTACATTGTAAGTTTGTTAGTTGCATTTTTTGTTTGTACTGTATTTGTAAGCTTGCATCTCTTTGCAGGATAATTTACAAATGTTCAATTTATTTAGATTCACCTAGAAAGGATACTTTATGTAATTGCCATACGTACAGGATATCAGAGCAGACACAATGAAATGTCATCTCGCTATGTAAATATGATGGCCAATGATTTGTGAAATTATTCAATCTGTGTAAGATCTTTTGAGATTGCGATTTTTGAAAGCAAAGCGTTGCGTTTTAGGCGTTTGAAAGTCTATATTTTATCAAATATAGAAATATACCATGGGGAAAAAGCAATAATAATTATTATTTTTGTACTATGTCTATGTAAGAGAAAAAATATTCATATTGTTACAAAAAATATACATATATATTTGCAAATCGCACGTTGTTAGTTGTTACATCCTTTTGCGCACCTACTAAAATAATATCCGTTATAAAGACTTCATATTGAGAGATAAAGAAAAAGAGAAAAAGAAAGGGAATGACATTTGTAAAGATTTTATTATTAAGCTTATTATATAGGTACATAAATTCAGTAACGTTAATGATAACATGTTAATTACGAGCCTTATACTCGATGAGTAATCACATTGCAGAAAGAGAGCTTTACATATATGCACGCTTTACATATCTGCACATTCAAACATTAATCTTCGGTTTATTTCATATTGATCTTCAATGATCTAAGGTGACTTTAAAGTAACAGTTTTATATACCTCTTTCCTAAATTCTCTTAAGATTTTCAAGAATATCGCGATACACCTTGTTAAATACGATTTAAAATCATTGTAGTTAATAAAATAAGAATATTTGTTTCTTCTTTTCATTTAGTTTTCACAAATGGAGATTTTTCTCGCGAGAAAAATACAGAATGCCGTGAAAACGTTTTATATCAAAGATTCATTGTCAGGTAATAATTGGTGTTAATATATGTGTGCGTCTATATAATCAATATGATATATTTAGTATACTTTTCTCTCAGTGTAAGGAGAAATCCAAATTCCTAAATGTCCTTTTTTTCTAATATTCTAGTAAAAGTTATATTTATTTCAAAGAAGTACAGTTATTTAGATCTTATCTTAGATTAAAACTAAATCTTAGATTAAATCAAGCTAATATCTGCGCTATGAAACTAAATATAAAAATAGTAATTTCTCATATTTGAAATGTTATTTGTCTTTTCATTACAATGCAATATACTTGAAAGTACTACGAAAATATAATTTCAAATATTAATTGGATTAAGAATTTAAGAACAGAAGTTTTATTTATAATAACATTAATAACCTTATCTTTTTCCATCATTATCAAAAAAGTAAACTTGTTAATTTGGTATATTAAAAAAACATTAGAAGTGTAAAAAATACGTTATTAAATTTAATGTAAGAACTTGTGCATGAATATACAGCTTAAATATAATACGTATTCTTAATAGTAATACTACAAATATTATAGAAAAGTACGAATGGCGCCAAGGTCGAACTGAAAGAAAAATTCGAGAAATAATTATCGGAGAACCTCATATTTGTCACATATAATTTTAGTATAGCATATTTATGTACATACAAATTTGCACGTACATAAATGAGATATTGAATTCATTCATAAATAAATTCCATTTTTTTTATATGACGTGGTTGTAATGGGTTGGAACGATTTAGTATCTTTGCTTTTTTGTTGTGTGAATTTTGTTGTACCTAATAAAACTTCGTCATCAAAGTCAGAATAATGATCAGTCCATAGTTTATCTTTCAAAGTTATGTCTCCCCAAAGGAAACTTTCCAAACCGCTTTCGTTCTGCTCGATTTGTTACGACACTTTCACATACACTTCAATTTTTTTAAATCTCGCTACAGTACGTTCCCGTGTAAATTCCCAAGGCATTATGTGACGTATATATACTTTCAAATCCTTTATTTTAAGATTTTACTTTCACAATCGTATACGATATGCACCATATTACAGTGATTTGCAATTGTGGGACTTTTTACCATCAAGTAAAAATAAAAATTATTAAGTGAAATTAGAACTTGGAATTTTCAGAAAAGATAAATTATTATTACCTGCAGCGGAACTTATTTATGAATCAATCTAATATATAAATTCGAAAATTGAGGGTTTTATATTGGAAATATCTATATTATATATCAATATAATAAACATTTAGAATTAGATAATAGAAAATTCAGTTTGTTGCTGCCAAAGTAAAAATAAAACAACTTTGCTATTCGATCTTATTAATAACTTTGTTATCTTCTTATTGATAGTTTAAAAGAGTAAATTCAATTTTCATGTCTCAAACCTCCGAATCTTTTCGCTACTTTCTCTATTCAGTCCAACCTTGAATGGCATTTGTATATACAGTCATTATCACTAGATCAGTGAGCGGACAACCGAGTTTTTTTTTCACAAGAGTGATTACTATGAATTCCCCAATTGAAAAAGATAATTGAGGATTACTGACTTCAGAACGATTGAAAATTATGCATTTATTGAAATTAATTCAATTTTTTTATTGAAAAAGCTTATCGATTAGCTGGATAAAATCGATTATATTTACGTTCTATTACGTTTTCGAACTCGGCCGCCGCTGAGGAAATATTGCATTCAAATAGATTTTTGTTCCATCGGAGATTACCTTTTGAGAACTATCATATAGTCGTCGAAAGGTTCCTTTACTTTGACTTGTACTTTGCCTCATCTGGGAAAGCTTCCCTGGGCGGTATGAGACTAAGCATCATTATGTGGCGCGCATAATTCCGCGAATTACGGAATTGCGTGTCGGTACCGTGGATGCGGTCTAAAACGCCAAGCACACCATAGCATTGGTTGAATCTGAAAGTGTTCATTTAAAGCAATTATTATACTGAATCAATTGTATAATCAAATATAACAACTATAAATCTTCATGTGAAACTTAGTATGAAGGTCATATCCTACGTTATATAATCTATTCAAGGATTTATAATAAACTGAAATCGTTCTAATGTAATTTAAAAATAAAAGATTTTGACAATTACTTTAAGTGATGAAAGTCATGCGCTTCCGGCGATGGGAAGAACGGTAAATGATAGCCGGAGTGTGCATTCAATGTCGAAAGAATCGCAAGCGAGAACCAAATCCAGGCGGTGGCCACATGGGAACCCATGATAAATACACCCAAGAAAGGTGGAAGTAGATTCGAGCCGATGTTTTCCAAAGGATGACAATACAACGCGGTGACGGCTATGGGCGCAGTCCATTCGTGATGCTGCTTATGTATATATTTGTATAGGGAGCGCTTATGAAGAAATCTGCAAAATGATTTAGTAATAGTAAATATTTTAACGATATCTGAGTATAAATATCTATTGTATAATATACCAAATATAAATGTCTAGTACCTATTAAATGCAACTCTCTAATTTTAAGGCCGATCTAATATTTTACGTGATCTTCAAATGAGACAAAGAAAACAAGTGTTGATTATTTATTAGTTATTAGTAACTTAATTAGTAATTGGTGATATTTATATAAAAATATCACCAATTACTGATTAAATTAAACTAATAAACGATATATATAGGAAAATTTTGTCTGAAACAACTCTTATTAAAAGGTTAATTAAGTATCATCTGTATTCCTATCTGTGTCTCCATAATTAGCTTAAAATATGTTGATAACTAAATGTATCAAGTTAATATGTTAATAGACATTGCTACTATTTCACAGATTTGCATATTTTTTATCCATTTAATTGCTTGTCAAATAGAAAAAAAATGCAATTTTCAAGCATGGAAAGACTAATCAGAATTCATATAGGTATAGTACCCACAAAATTAAATTACGCTAGTCGACTCTGAATTCAGAATGCCTTCCTGATACATATTACAACTCGCATATATATACATATACATACATAAAATGTAAACCATTGCAAATAACTGAAATTTAAGTAAATAGTTATCTTGTTTTTTAGTAGTTTATTTATATAAAAATGCTAAGATTGAACGTATATTTTTTATTTAATGATATTTCTTGGAGGAAAATAAAATTCATGAAAATATCTTTTTGGCAATTATACAGAAATGCAATGACACTTTTGCATTTATTACTTGTAAATGCTATAAAATTACTTGTAAATACTTGTAAAATTTATAAAGTTTTTAATAGCTACTTTCTTTTATAGATTATCTTGATATTATATATGGAAAAAGTGATAACAAATAATGATTTTTCTCGAAATTCTTGAATTAAATTAACTTCAAATTTTTCAATAACATCAAAAACGAATACCGCAGTTAAAGTGCGATTTTATCATTATTTTGGCCGTAATACGAATTTTATCATTCGTAAGTTCACGGCTCTCCACCGTGTCTCCTGTCAACCTTTAAAATTCTATTAATAAATATATTCATACATATTTATGAATTTATACATATCAACTTTTTTTCTACCTGTTCGCCAGATATCAATTTCGACACTATTAGTCAACAACATTGGCGGCAAAACAAAATTACGCATAAGATTTATCGAATTTAATTAATGTTATGCATGAATTTCTGGATTAGTGACTTCCTGACGTACCTGTGCGAGTAATAAAAGCCAATTTCCTCGCATAATATGTGAATCGCGATCTCGGCCAGCACCCAGTGGAAGGTCGGTAGCTCGCGCACCGGAGGGTAACCGCGCCATTCCATGAAGTAATAGCCGAGATACATAATGGGTAAGCCGACGACGATCTGATTGAACAGTACTTGAGCGATCACTTTGCATAACTCCCTTTTGTCCACTGGCTCGTTCGTGCCGGGCTGTATTTTGTATCTGCGCAGCGCTGCTGGCCGGTTGGTGAGGTCTAGGATAGTGTAAATTCCACCGACAATCCAGTAAACCGCGATCGTCAACACTAAGGATCCTGCAATACGGCAATAAATAATATAAATATACATATGTATATGAGACTATTTATAAATAATGTTTAGTGATGCAAATTCGAGCACTGCAAAGTGCTCTTTCCTCTTTCTTCTACATGAATTTCCAACAATGCTCGTGAACATATAAATGTACTATCCGATAATATGAGAATCGTGAAAAACAGCAGATAATGCAATTGACATAAAATGTGACAAATATAATAAATCTATACAAAAATACGAGTTATCTTAGAATTTCTAATTTTTATGTTGTTGAAAAATTTGAAGTCAATTTTATTTAAGAATTTTAAGAAAAATAATTATTTGTTATCGCTTTTTCCATATATAATATCAAGATATTCTATAAAAGAAGTTAGTTATCAAAAACTTTAGTTTATAAAAATCCTGCAATTACTTAACGTTTCAATTTAAAAGAAGTTTAAATTAGTCAAAGAATTTGCAATCGAAACTAATAATTCTTATATATATAAATTATTTATATATTCTTTTCTGTATTAAGATGTAATATGTTCAGCGCGGACAAAACAGTATGCTACCATACATCTTCTGAGTTTGTAAGAACTAATATGTATGTCATAAACTTACCGTAAACCCATAGCGTGACAGGATCATCTCCAAATTTATCCAAAATTTTATCCCACTGAGCTTGCCAAAAGTCGCCGGATGCACCCCAGAATCTTTGTAAATGCCTGAAATTTCTTCTTCATTAATAAAATTAAAAAAAAAAGTAAATTCATCAGTAGAATAGCATACTGAAGAATTTATTTAGTTTTGCAAAAATAAATAATTTTTTTACGCAACATTAAAATAATTTATTTTTCGAATTGTCTACTACATAGGATGTTCGCAAACAAAAAATTTTAATTTGTTATCAATGTATAAAAGTTATCAATGTCAGCTGAAAATTTAAGAGATTATTTGACCTTCTTTATCGAACTACGAATATTCGATTACTTTTTTAAGTATTAAAAATATTAGAAAAAATATTAGATGCGCAAATTAATTCGGTGTTTCTTAAAAAATTAAAGATTTATTTTTAAAAAATTATAGTAATTATTAAAATAATTTACATTGTTATCAATTTTATACGCTACTGATCGTGCAAATTTCGAATTCCATCGCGATTTAAAACTTGATAGCTTTAAAGTGATATTAAAGCATTTTTGGATATTAATTGTCAATTATCTTGAAGTGTATGTTCAAGTGATGCTGTAGCGATTTGCTAACTTGAAAGGATCATGTCTGATGAATAAGCCGCGTGAAAGATAAATTCTCACAAGGAGAAAATGATATCCTTTATTGCTTTTGTGAACGAGCGTTGTAAATCCAAATTCCTTTACCACTTCTTTGACCAGTAAACAGTGTCTTTCGTTTCAACTCATCGCTCAAATTGATGAGTTGTTGTTGGCAACGATTTACTGTGAGTGTTCCGCCTGGATTTAGCAATTCATAATATAGAGTATATCCCTTTCATGTCTCACAAGGCAATACCTTCTTGGCATGGATGTTAAGCTTTGTAGATGTCGGCATTGTTAGATCTATTATACCTATGACATTTTACGCTTAAGATTATTATAATATAGGATCCATCTCTCATCATAATTAGTACAAGAAAGTCTTTTTTTTCTTCTTAGTTTGACAAAGTCGGCCATATTGAAGGTAGGCGTCCATTGCTGTCTTCACTTATAGCGCATGTGGAACTTACTTATTTTTTTTCTGAATTTTTCCTCATCGTAGTCAAATAAAAATGGCTCCTTGCGTGATTTTAAGCTGCAAAGCGAGTTCTTCTTGCATCTGTGCGGAATTCTTATCCAAAAGTGCAGTTCTCTAAATTTTTTAGACTGGCTAAGATATTCTCGGTCATATTAAAATGTTCATCACGAAATCTCTGATACTTTCATTTTTGCACGTTTTGTAAGTCGCAACACAAAAGCAGAATAAATCATTTCAGCGGTTTCAGTAGCATTTTTTAAATTAAATGGAATGCAAAAAAAATGCAGTATCTTAAATGCACCTTATATATCAAGTTTATATATCAACAGTTATTAGTTATTTATTGCTTTTTTTTTGAGATTATGTTTTTCAACTACTTGAGAACGAGTATTATTAGCACTTTAAATCCAGAAAAAATACAAAAAAACATGTAAAGTATAGTACAGTAATTAAAAACACATGAAACTAGAAATACTGAATTAATTTGCACGCACCTAATCATGTTTGCATTATTTTCTATGCATATGCGATTAGATATAAAGTTGTAGTAGAAGAGCAATGCAAGAGGAGAAATCGAAAAAGAAATATAAATAAAATAAAATTGTATAAAACAATAATTAACATTACATCCGAGATTACACATCTAATAGTATAATATAATTATAGATATTATGATCCAGTAGCATCAAATTTTTGCGTCACAAATATCTTTTTGGTTTGGTAATAATTTTCGTTTTGTACTATTAAAGTTTATATTATAGAAATTTTATCGATGGAGAGTTAGGAAGAGGACCAAGAGAGATACGTGATTGTAACTCTGTTTATGTGAATAAAGTAAAACAGAAATGATGCATTGCAATTACCATGTTAGAGAATTACAGAAGGCGGCGAATCCGATCACCACAGTTCCGATAACGAAGAGTACGCTCCTTAAACTTGAAAGAAGCGTTGGCGGAGTCTGATTCTTCGAGGCATCGCCAATAGCCGGGGTTGCTGCAAACAATGATAACCAGTCATATAAGTACCAGTTATCTTGCAATTAAATCAAAAGTGAAAGCGAAACATAATAATTTGCTAGTGGGATAACGTTGGATTTGTAAGGCTTGTAAAAATTATTGCAAGTTATATTGCTAAAACCAAATAGTCTGTTCCGAGCAAATGCGTTTGGTTTTTCCCATCACATTAGCTATTATTATTTTGATAATAAATCCAATAAAATCATTTTCAACAAATAAAGTTAGATAAATATATGTACCATTTTTGAACAATTTGTTATTAATATGTGAAAGGGCTTATTGGTTGTCTATTTAGCACCTTTATTACAGAATTTTTTGATTATACAAAAAGTATTAAAATAAATGGATAATTAACTAAAGACTCTCGATATTAAAATTAATAAGTAACAAGGAAAAAGTGAAAGAGTCAAATGCGGTTAGCTGTGCGTGAGTCAACGTTACGTAACATTCAATTTAACACTTCAATATAAAGTTATAAACCGTACGTAAAAAGTATTAAAAGTGTTCGGTTTTAATTTCTTAAATTGCAAATGGAGGCCATAATTATGTAATTTAATTTTTTATCAAATTTTCGTTATATACGCAGCAGGGGAAGCATTTGGAGAGGGAGAGTGTACGAGATTTTAAGTGTGGATGATTGTGATGTATTGAAACAATCAGAAGTATTAATATAGATTTATTTAACGAGATAAGAATTATCCCCCCTAAGACACTTTTCACAGCGCACTCGTTTATTTTGTTAGAGCATTCATGCGATGACGCGTTCAGGCATTGCAAAAAGACTGATCAATGGTAATTCCATTATGTAAGACAAATCAGTATTCCCATTGATGTGTGCGACAGGTGTTCAATTCGAAAACTAGTCACGAAGCAAAAGCAAGCGGAAATTTTCAATTGTCACTTCATATTCATCGTAAAATTCGTTTAACACCTGACAAGATGAGACGACAGCAGAGTGATAGAAAGTAATTCAATTTTCGGAAGACGTAGTTGTAAGCCAGATTGTTTTGAAACGCCAAAATACATATAAATAAACATTAAAGAATTCCAACACATTAAATTTCATAGATGCAAATATGAGAAGATTGCCTTGTAATAAGATTATAATATATTCCTGATGCTTATTTCGGAGAATATTTAATGTTAATATATGTATAAAAATTTCCAGAAAAAAACTGAAATTTTATTTTAAATTCTTATTGGGTAAAGATAAATGTCAAACCGATTAAAATATTTGTAGGAACAACAGTGGTGACGTTTTTGGACACCTATTTACCTATTCATAGATTTTATATGTAAAAATATCAATACACTAACAATTTTCGAGTTATAAGCAACTCAAAGAAAGAAATTTTCGAACTAAATTTTAGAGAGCCAAGTGGATAACAAAACTACAGTCTTTATATAATTTCAGGCAAAGTATATTTTAAGAGAATTTTAACTTAATGATAAAATATAATATTATGTAATATAAAAACTCTGAAAAGTTACAATAAATAATCTTTTCTAGTTTTTGGTAAAGTTGTTTCTAAATTAGACAAAAAATTTAACATTAAAAAGATAAATCTAGTGATTTTGTGAGACATCCTACACGGAAAGAACGGTTTTGCTGAAGTACCTAAAAATTTCGCTAGATATATAGAGCTGAAAATAATTTTGTTGCACCATCAAAATAATTATAGTATAGGTCGCTGAAGTATGTTTTAGCAATCAGCTTGAGTGTTCTACATAATTATTTTGATGGTGCAACCAAATTATCTGTATACTTCAGTAAAAAACCGTTCTTTCCGTGTAAGTATAATATAAAAAGAGGCGAAGAAAATAATGTGATATATCTGGTCACTGATTACAGTTATCTGTCATACCCAATTATAATGTTGTATTTAATTGTATATAAACGCATTACACGTTATAAAAAAATGTAATTACTCAATAATTACAACATCTGCGTCTTTGTATTTAATCAATTTTTTTCCGCATGGAATATTACAATCTTTATGTGACATTCCGCGCGTCTGGAAAATCTTTATAATTTATTAATCTCTGAAAAATCCTAAAATATTGTTTAACAAAGAAAATATAATGTGTCGGACAAAAACTTTTTTAAAATTTAAATATAAAGTTTTATATGAGATTTTTATAAAAAAAAAAGATCGTATAAGACAGATTATACAAATTATAATTATACAATGTAATATATTCTATATATTCTGATGCGATAGAAAAAAAAAACAAATTAATAAATGTAACGTAAATGAAGAAATAAAGCAAAATGAAGATATCTAAAATAAACTGATTTATCATTTTGTGAAGAAATAATTATCATTGCAGTAAATGTGATGACGATAGTATAAGGAAACTTTGTACCATCGAGCAAGACTTTAATGATGGCTATATTATACTTTTTTACGCTTTTTTTCTATTCAGTCTCATCTATTTACATCATTAGTTACGTTTTTTTTCGCAAAATTGCAACATCTTAACGTTTTATGCATAGAAAAAATTAAAATTTTGAAAAATGTAGAATAAAGAATGAAGATATTACAATTGTGATTTCACTATGTATTTTAACGAAAAGATATCTAATATTACCTACATAAATATAATTCGTAACGTTCAAATGTGAAGTACAGGATAATTTGAATTTTATATGCTCATGTAGCGCTATTAGCGTCAAAATAGTATTACCTATTAGAATTTATTTAAAATATTTATGTCCGAATAGAATCAGTAAGAAAGAGAAGAAATAGAGGAGAATATCCCATAATAAAAAGCTAAGCATAAGAGATGAAACTTAAAAATCCAGAGACAAAAAAAGGCAGTACTGATTATATTCAAGAGAATATTTACTACGACACTGAATGCAATATTGATAAGAACTGTTATTTGTGACTTATACATCAGTACACATGTACTTAGTTCGTGTTATATAATTTAAACGCGCGTTCTCGTAGTTAGTTATTTATTTATTTATTGTATCGAATTCTGAGATACCGATCAATCGAAACGCAATAACCCGACGTGAATAGACTTCTCCAATAATACGCGCAGGCTGTTTCTAAGAAAGACGAAGTCAGAACATTAGTCGTAATGATAGGCAGCAAGCGTAATATTTTTACATCTATTGAGAATGATTATACGATTATACGCATATCTATAGAGCATACAGTAATTTGCTCAGAGCAATCTCCATGTGCGTCAAGATGTTAGCGCGATAACTTCGGGAATTGTATAAACTATCTAATAACTGAAATGCCACTTTATCAGCACTGCTTATCTATTCCCAAGTATCTTGTTACTTTGAGCAGCTTGATCAACGAAACAAGAGTGTATCTCCAGTTAATAGTAAACAAAGAAAAAGTTGGTCTTATGGTTAATATTAATAATTAGAAATTCTTGGCAAGGAAAACATAGGTAACAAGAATTTACTTCGATCAATATCATAAATTGACTTGAACTTGAGAAAATTTAATTTAAGAATTGCAAAGATATCTAATATCGGAAATAAAAAAATTGAATGCAATGGCGAATTCGTTAAACTTTCGAGATCGATTCTGGATACAGCGCAGCTAATATCACTTTAAAAAGCCTGCAGCACACAAAGAAAATTTATTAATAGATTCACGATAAGATGAAGACGGATGAAGAGCAACAAAAGCAAAGTACAAATTCCATTCTTCTCAATGAAAGAAATATTGCCGTCCTTGTATACGCAGGTGACTAAAACGTTTGTTAATAAAATTGCTTTTATTATTGATCATCAAGTATACCTCCGTAAAGAAACGCATTATCTAAATTAAAAGAAAAAACTGGTCTTCGTTTTACGACATGAATATAAATTTCTCGGACAATGCATTAAATTTGCATATATAAAAACGGAACATTCATTCCGTTTTAGCGCTTCGAGATGCGTAAAAACAATCACAGTAATGGCAAAATAAAAACAAGACAATTTAATTTCTACCATTTCCTCATCAAGTCTCCACAAAATTCTTAAAAAACTCTGATTTCTCCAGACAGGAGACAAGTTGCAAAAAATTCCAGAAGATATTAGTATTATTCCAAGTAAATATCTCTATTATTATAATAAATAATCAAAACGTTCAAAATACACGGTAGCCTAAAAAAGTTTAAATTAATAATGCTCTTACACAGTGGCTTACATCATACATAACATATATACATATGTGTACTATTTTCGACTGATTATGGGTAATTCAGGCAGCTGTTTCGTAATAACTTTTTTTAGAAACTTATAATTTTATAATTGTTTTTTACACATTTAATGTGGAAGAAACAAAGTGCCTATTTAAGCGCCTGAGAAAAAGCCACTTTCTTAAGCACTTAAATATTTACAGATTAATTCCCGTTAGTTCCACGCAAATGGAATGCTGTGTCGTGAAATAAGGACAGTTTTGTCAATTATTGAGCATCGTCAGCACTCACTTTTGCACTCCGACTTTAGTAAAGCACGTCGAATTCTCTGCAGCCAAAACATTGTCCTAAAACGAGCGATAGCGCTGAAACTGGTTTCTCAAGTGGCTCCAGACCGAACGCGTTGTGCTCGCCGATCATTCACCGCTGCTGACCGCTGCAGCTCGTGTCGTTAAACGAGACGCACTGACCAGCAACGATTCACGACTCGCCAGCAAAGGCCCGAGGACGACGCGTCCGTACGTCCGTACCCGTTGCTCCGGCGCCTCCAATTTCCTTTGTTTACGCCGCGAGTAAGGTAGGGATGCCCACGATAATTCGATGGTGTCGTGACCGAAATGGATAATTTTTGGCATTTTCTTTTCTACGATTACGAGTGCGACCTTATTTTGACTATATGGTTATCGAAATAATGATACCGTTGTAGATATCGAGTACGCTCTTTTTTCAACACAGACCATATGCATGTGGGCGTTATTTCTTTCAAAAAACAAGAAATAAAATAATCACATTTTGCACTAAATATAAGATATGGATGAACCTGAACATTTTTAATATGCCAGCATAGTTTGTTGCGAAATAAAGATATTGTATTTTCAATATAAATACTTTTCAAATTTAATATACAATATAGCAATAAACATAAGACACATAAACATAAGACATTTTGCTTTTAATACTAATTATTTTCTAATACTTTTTTCCGATATTAGATAAGCAGTATAAAAGAACATGTTAATGCGTTGAATTAAAAAAAATTCAATTTTGCAAACTTTCTTCTTTATTAAAAATGCAGAATATGTGTCATATTCATACTCCTAATATTCCCTATCAAATATAGAAAGTCAATAATTTACTGATTTTAGATAAAACTTAGAACTTTGTCGATACATCACGGAACTCTTTTTGTTCAAGAAGAGGTGTATAAAATAGTAGATTTGGATTTTAATAATTTTTAATAGCAATCTTTTATTTTTTCGTTTGTTGGCCTAAAGTAGTGAAAATTGTAATTTTGACATTTAAAAAACAAGAGACACAGTAAAATTTTTTATTTTTTTCTTCGCGCTCTTATAAGGACAAAATTCGCACGTGTACCATGTTAGCTCTGTTAGTTATGACCTTTTTATTATCGTGAAAGTAACTGTGAAAAAGAACGGTTTCTTTCGAAAGTCCACTATATCAAACGAGTATTTAGAAAAGTGTGGCAAGTAAGTTGTATTGGTAGCTATATACGTAAAAACAGCGGTATTTAATGATAGATTATCGATATCTGAACGTATTAAACAATTTAAACATCAATTCCGGTGAAAGAGCCATCGTTATATGCAAGACATCAAACGGAGATGCACTGTACGAGAATTTATCCGGAAGAAAACTTACTTCTATGTCTTCAACAGATAATAAAGATTCTCTGTTATTGCAGGACTTCTCGACGCCATATTCTATATATCAAAATAATTTTAAGTTATAGGTACACATTTTATTAATTTGTAATTTTTGTCAAAACTACATTTATATTCAGTTTTATCACGGTTTCACAAGAACAATAATAGATATTATATGTCCCTTCAAATCTTTTGTAATTAAATTTTCAACAAACTATATTTAAATATTAAAAAATTTTGTTCAAGACAAACTTTAATGGAAAGAGATGAAATTATTTTTGTTTACGGAGCTATGTATTTGAATATAAGAAAGAGGAAGACAGCGATACTAACTGAGATGTTTATATTATTTATATTATTGTTTGAACAGGTTTTAAAATAATAGTGCGCAAAAGCAGCACAAATTATCAATACATAGAAATATACATAATTAAATACATATCATTAATGAAATCAAATAGATATACTCTGATAAGTCAAACAGGAAGTTCATATTTAGATGAATAAGATTCAAAGAGTATCTTTGTTCTGATATAAATCTGGATTCTTAATTATATGTAATTACAAAATAATGAATTAGACAAATAAATTATTATTAAATCGTTGAACTTAAAAAAAAAAATGGAATTACTTTATCTTATCAGAATATATTTAAACATCTCAAAGCATGAGAATCATTAAATTATCACGTCAAAGAATGCAAATCATAAAGGTATCACATCAGAGCATGCACATTATATCAAAGTATCACATCAGAGCATGCACATTATATTAAGGTATCACATCAGAGCATGCACATTATATCAA